TCCTGTGTCCCAGCAGTCTGAGCATGTGGCTCAGGGGACACACTCAGTGCGCGTGGATTCCATGCGCACCCTGCTGGGGGAGCTGGGCTCTGCAGGGACTCTCAGTAGCATCCACAGAACCACGAGCGGTGTCTTTGACATCCTAGCCGGTGAAGAGCTGGGCCACCCCCTGTGCAAGGGCTGTACTGACAACCTTCTGGAGCAGCTGGACACATAGCTCAGGGCTTCAGAATCTGACATTCAGAACTACCCGCGCTGTTTGGAGACCAGGGATGGATTAAGTGAGGACGCGAGGGAGACACTGCAGGAGGAGCTGAAGGCCGTGGAGCTGGAGGAAGCGAGGCTGGTCCAGGAGCTGGAGGAGGTGGAGAAGAACCGAGAACAGGCAGCTGAGGCTCTGGAGGCAGCCCGGGCAGAGACGGAGGCGCTGCAGCAGCAGGAAAGGCAGTCCTACAGGGACCTCAGTGAGCTGCAATGGCAGCAACTGGAACTGCAGGATGAGCTGGGCAGCGTGGAGGACCGGCTGCTGTATGCCCAGACCCAGCTCACCCGGCTGAAGAGAACCAACGCCTTCAAGGCCGCGTTTGAGATCTGCTGTGATGGCCCCCTGGCCATCATCAATAGCTTCAGGTTGGGCTGCAACCCCACCGTCCCCTGGAGCTGGAGTGAGATCAACGCAGCCTGGGGGCACACGGCCTTGCTGCTCTTGGCCCTGTCTCACACAGTCGGCCTGCAGTTTCAGAGGTACAGGCTCAGCCCGTGCGGAGACCACTCCTATCTGAAGTCCGTAACAGACGACGCCGTGGAGCTGCCTTTGTTCTGCACGTCGTGGCAGAGCGCTCTCGTGGACAACAAGTTTGACGAGGCGATGGTGGCCTTCCTGGACTGCATGCAGCAGTTCAAGGAGGCAGCGGAGAAGGACGAGCCCGCCCTCTGCATGCCCTACACCATCCACGTGGCGGACGGCCTGATGGGAGACCCGGGAGCCGGTGAGTTCTACTCCATCAGAACCCGCCTGAACACGGAGGAGCGGTGGACAAAGGCGCTCAAACTCATGCTTACAAATTTTAAGTGGAGTCTCGCTTGGGTCTCCTTAAGGTATCCTCAGAAGCCTGTGTGAAGCGATTAAGGAGGTCAATCAGCTGTGAATCCACCAAGCAGAACCGATAAGCAGGGTCAGGCCCACCTGGAGTCAAAACATCATCTCATCACCTGATGACTAAGGACAACAGCTGACATCTGCGGACCTCCAGGGCTGCCTCACCCCTAGCCTCTTCCCTTCATAACCCTGCCCCGTATGCCTGACTGGGAAGACAGGATTTGAATATTTTTAAGTGCCCTGTCTTCTTGGTTGACTGGCCTTCTCAATAAACGCCTTATGCGATTCAAAAAAAAAAAGAAGAAGAAAATTAAAAAAAGAAACACTTTGTAAAACACAAATCACCACATAGATAACATCAACCTCCTACTCAATCCAATAGCAAATTCGATTGCCTCCAACTTGAAAATATATCCAGAACACAGCAATTCTTACCACCTCCACTGCTACCTCCCTAAATTAAGCTACATTCATCTCTCAACTGAAATATTACAGTAGCCTCCTAACCACTTTCGCCATGTGCACAGTTTCCCCACGGTGTCTCTATTCCATGCTAAATTCAGAACCACCTTTTAATGAGCAAGTAAGGACATGTTATTCTACTGCTCAAAATCCTCTGATTTCCCATCTCTCACACAGTAAAATTCTTTACTTGGCTTTTGAGGATTGAAATTAACTTGTTTCCTGCTTGGCCTCTGAATTTATCTCCTGCATTTCCCCTTTCACTCCCTCTGCTCCAGATATACCAGTTTCTCTCTCCCTCTCTCTCTCTCTCTCTCTCTCAAAAAAATAAATAAAAATAAAAAATTGTCAAGCATAAGCCTGCCTCAAAAGCCTTTGAACTTGTTCTCTCCTCTTACCCCGAGTAATAAGCCTCACTCTTTCTGCTCAGAGGCACATGATCAGAGAGGCTTTTCCTGATGGCTCCATATGAACTAGAGACCATCCCACCCACACTATGTACCATCTACACTCTCCTTCACCTGCTTTATTTTTTCCTGTCCTTCATCACTACCTGTCATGCTATATGCATTTTTGTTTCTTTGTCCCCTCTGAGTAGAATGCAAGGACCTTGGGGGCAAGGCCACTGCCAGTTTCGCTCATTGTAAAATTCCCAGCACCTAGGATAAGTGGCCTATGGCACATAGCAGGTACTTAATAAATATTCATCATTGAAAGATTTCATTGGGGATTTGAAAATTCATCTTAGAATCCTGAACAAATACAATTCTATATTTCTCTCACTCTAAAATAGTGTTGCCCACCCAGAGGCAGGATGAGTGAAGCTGGGGGCAGGTGGTTATAGAGGGAAACACCCATGTTATCTTCCTAATACTGTCAAGAAAACCAAGTTCCTATTTGTGGGCCAAGTGAAAAATACTAAAAAAGGAATGGAAAGTTTTCTACCCACAGGGAAGGTAATGATAATTATAATAAAGAAGATAATGATGGGCTTTTTTTCCATCCCCAATTCCCTTAGAAGACTATCAGAAACAAGCTGGATTACAGGAAGATAGGCAGAGATAACAATTTTTTTTTTATTGTTTTGCTTCTCCTTCTGCACCTTACAAGAGATTCCATCATTTGTACTCTAAGTCCAGGAACTCTGCCCACCCACCTTCAGATATGCATACAAAGAAAATTGGATATATTGCATGGAAGGACATGATGATTCTTTTTAAGAAGGATATGGATGTATGTCAGATAGAACAGTGATGATTAGAATTTGGGGCAATGAGTATGTAATTGAGAATTTTCCTGAAGCCAGATAGATCAGACTGCCAAAATTACAAACTGTATAACCTTACACAAATGTCTTAACTTCTCTGTGATTCAGTGTCTTATATGTAAAAGAGATAAATAATAACACCTCTTTATGAAGTTGTTCTAAGGAAAAAATATGTGAATTTACATGTATAAAACACTTAGAAAAGTGCCTGGCACATGGAGGACTGAATAATTGTTAATTATTAGTATTTAGTTTTCTGTAATCAACATTAAAATCATGTTTTATGAGACCCCAGAAGATGTGAATATATTTATAGAGACATATAATGAACCATTTTTCTTAGAGGAATGTTAAATAGAAAATTGCTTTGTAATTATTAATACAAGGGCTCTGGGGTAACTAATGGGGAGTGGCAATATTCTTATATTTATCATTTAAAAATAATATGTATTAACTAATTTAACCCCTAATTCTTTGGCTGTTCAATAATGAAAGAATTAGATTGATGCTGTAACACAAAGTTTCATGAACGATTAACTTTCCATTATCTTTTAATGAAGACATTAGGTAAAATATTTGTGAGGGAGAAGATATGACAGTAGCTAGAATCCGACGTATAAGTTCCATCTGTAGCTGAACTATTTGGAAAAGATGACTTCATTTTGGCAATTTATGAAAAAACAAATGAGACATTAGAAGATGTTAGGATGTCACCCTCCAGCTCTAGAACATTTGCATAGAATCTGTCCTATCCAATATTTTCTGTTAATGATTTGGATAGACACTAAAGTGGCATACATATCTAATATGCCGATATCAAAAAGCACAGCAAGATAATAAATATCATTGATGGTCAACAGGAAAATTAAAAAGAACAGGACAGCCTGGTGTGTTGTACTAACACAAACTAAGTATAATAAAAGATAAATGTTAAATGATATCATAAAAAATGTAGAATCGTGCAAATAAGAGAAATTCTATGCAGTGGTTAATCCTTCATCCAGGTCTGTTGCCAAGAGATACAGATACAAAAATTTTAAAATATTTCATTTCAGTTTCTTGCAATACTCAATCCAATGGAGGAAAGAGAACCATAAAAAAAAGTACAGTGATTATCATAGTCATGCAAGTACAGAAAAGTAACATCAAACTCATTATGAGATCCACTGATTTAGAGTTTGCAAAGCATCTTCCCAGGTACTATCTCATTTAATCCTTACCATATCTCTGTTAGGGTGGTGGGTTTTATTACCTCAGTTACTCAGGAGAGGAAGGGAAGAAATAATGAGCTTTTTAACACTCAACCTCATACTACAGATTTTAACTGTCAAAAATGAGGCAGAAAGTTGGTTATTATATTGTCAGATTCTATTTTTCCCTTTACCCCTTAGCTATTTGGTGTAGAGTTGATGACCTCTATCAGCCAGAATCCAATGAAAACAAGTAGTCAATGGCACATCACTAATCCCAGCCAGGCGGGTACTGGAAATGTCAGGGGGAACAGTTTGTAAAGGATATGATTATCTAACCACTATGCTGTACGACTGAAACTAACACAAAATAATGTTAAATATAAACCGTAATTGAAAAACATTTTTTTAATTAAAAAAAGGAGAAAATGTTGTTGTGCTCTTTAAAAACCAGGGCTGTTGTATTTTTATTAGAGGCCCGATGCACTTGTGCACTGGTGAGGTCCCTCGGCCTGGCCTGTGGGGATTGGGCCAAAATGGGCTCTCTGACTTCCCCTGAGGGGTCCCAGATTGTGAGAGGGCAGTGTTCCGGTGACACAGCCTGGAATGGGGCTTCCTCCTCTCTGGTTCCGGGTGCTTCACCCGAGAACCACAGCTGCCAAGTCATCACAGCTCGGCAGCTCCTGCGTTGAGCGTCTGCCCCGAGGTGGTCATTGCACATCATAGCTATTGGTCAGATGGTTGAATGGTCGGACGGTCACTTAGTCTTTTATATATATAGACTAGAGGCCCGGTGCACAAAAATTTGTGCACTCGGGGGGGAGGGGGTCCCTCTCACAGTCTGGGACCCCTCAGGAGATAAGGACCTGCTGGCTTAGGCCTGCTCCCGGGTGGCAGAGGGCAGGCCCAATCCCTAGGTGCAGGCCCTGGTCGGGCTCAGAGCAGAGCCGATTGGGAAGTTGGGGCGCCGCCCCCTGTCATGCACAGAGCAGGGCGATCGGGAGGTTGTGATTCCACCCTCAGTCACGCTCAGGGTAGGGCCTATTGGGGGGTTGGGGCACTATCCCCTGTCACACTCAAGGCAGGGTCGATGGGGAGGTTGCGGCGCCACCCCCTGTCACGCACAGAGCAGGGCCAATCAGGGG